ATTGCCTTACACGCAGTAATCATCCACAGTCGTAGGAATGGTCTTAATCAAGTTCATATTTATACGGACTCCGCCTCAAGCCTCTAAGCACTTTCAAGCATGCACAGCAGAAGCCCTCTGGTTAAGAAAATACAGAGAACTCTCCTTAGTATCCCTATCCCTTTTCGTCCTGTACTCTGTTGGGTGCCAGCGCACGTAGGAATACTAGGAAATAAAAGTGCAGACGTTGTGGCTGCCAATAGTGCATCCTTAATTGAGTGCCTAACAAAACTTCCAACCTCGTTGCTAAAACATTCCACATGCAAACTTCTTATATGACAGTGGCAAACCCGCTGGAATGATGCTACAAAGGGTTGACGTACACATGCGATGCTCCCAAGTGTAAGCATGGATCTGCAGAGCAAAACTGGCAGCATGTCACATTTCCTAACAGGACATGGAGCGTACAAAGCCTATCTGCATAGGTTTGGTCTATGCAACACAGACATCTGCGACTGTGGGAAAGTGGGCAGTCCAGACCACTATTACTTTGAATGCCAAAAACCAGCACCCATGTTTCGCGCAGCGTGGTGGAATAATATTCAAAATAACAATGTTGCTCCATCGAAACTACATGCTATCACTACCTACTGCGCTGCAAAAACGAAGTAACCTGGAACAGCTCTCATCACAGTCATTCCCCAAATAGCTAAATTACTGTTTCAGCTCCCGTAATATACGTATTTAATTTTTTTTATACATACATATATATATATATATATATATATATATATATTTATCTTTTTTTTACATATATGTAGTTATTTAACTCTTTTGTTATAAAAGTCTTTGTTCCATCGAATCAACTTCTTGACATATACAAATATTTGTACTCATCCGGTGTAATACATTGTTCATACAGTTATCTAACTTTCGTAATATAAGTGTTCATTCCAATATAGTAAATATGCCAACCTAACACATGAAATACCAATAACAATATTGCATAATGTCTATATATTTCTGTACTGTAAAAATATTTCTTCCACATTGATTGTTATCACTTAAATATATTTACATTTGACTTATTTATACATCAAATGTAGTATTCATTCAATGCACTGCCAAATGCATATATGTGTATACTGCAATATAATTTCACTTATAGTATTGATTTATTTTATAAGAGTGTTCATATGTAATACTGTGCTATTCAAAATATCTTGTAACCAAAGAAAATAATATGTACTGAACAACAGGCCTTATATGCCAATGTAACTGATTTCCGCAGAAATGACGTTCAATTCCGTACGGCAAGAACTAGGACGGTGTATAACTTCGCGGTGTATAGTCAATAGATTTGAGAGCAGTGTGTGGCCTGGCATTATCTTGTTGGAAAATGGCCCCAAGATAACGTACCACGAAGGGTAATGGAACCCCCCTCAGGATGGTATCAACATATCGTTGAACTGTTAAAGATGTACGGAGGATTACCAAAGATAACCTGTTATCATAAGAAATAGCGCTTCTCACCATCACACCAGGAGTTATGGCTGTATGCCTTTGTAAAACAAAGGCTGATTGGGACCGCTGGACCCATTTTTCCAGACACGAACACGGTGGTCATCTGCTTCAAGAGTGAAGCAGGATTCATCGCTAAACACTATACGATGTCAGTCTGATGGCAGCCATGATGATCGGCTGCGACACCATTCCAGACGACTCCACCCATGTTGTGGGGTCAGAGGCAATCTTCTTAAAGGTCTCTGTGAGCGTAACCCCGCCTCTGACAAGCACCGTGAGATCGGTGGACGGTACCACGGGAGGCATAGACGTGGCTGTTGTGCGTTGAATAGTCGACATTGATACGTTGGGACGGTTCGGGACTGGCAAACAATCATCCTATATTGGCTCGCATTTGTGCTCCTTGGTCTTCCAGAGCCTTCATTTCGTCAGTAATTTTCTTGTAACAACCACTGCTGCCAACATCTTTGCACAGCAGTGTCTGTACGCTGCAGGTGGCGGCTTATTGCTCAGTATGACCACCCAGCTTCACACAAACGTACAATGCGAGCACGTTCGAAGTCGTTTAGTTGTCTATAAGGTCTTCGATATCGTCGTAATGGCATCTTTAGTTGCGTCTTTACGGAATTACGATGGCAGCAACAAAAAAAGATCAATTTTCCACCTCTGTTACTGGTTTTATACTTTGCGAATTGCGCGCTGAAAATGTGCGCTGTGGTCGCAATTCTTGTTCATTTGCCTTGTAACTGTGATCATGTTTTTGCATACCAAATTTCGTCACGATCGCAAAAGGCTTTCTTGGTGCTCCGATGTTTTTGCAAAAAAGTGTATGAAACAGATAATAAAACAAATTCCAAATTCGGGTTTCCTGGTGGCTATGTTCGGTTGAAGGACTATATTATTCAAAATTTGATTAATCTGGTACCGTTATTTATTCAAAAGAGTAACATGCATTTATTGGTGCAGATTCTTCATTATTTAATTTCTTTAATTATAATAGACAGCGATACTATTTGGTGGCAACAATTTGAAAAGTTAAACGGACATTTATAGTTCATGAGCGCAAAATGCCGAGACTAATAGCCATTCTGAGCTAACTTCCTCGGTTGAAATGCGGTTTAGCCCACTGCTTGGCGATTGTATTTCAATGGGCAATAAACGCGCCAACATGGCTAACCCGATGTTTTGAAGCTGTGTTGTTATTTTGTTGCCACTAGATGTTATCGCCCTGTGTTATATTTAGAAAAATTAAATATTGAAAAATCTGCATAAATATTTCTCGCATTGTTATAAAACAACGGTACCTAGAGCCATCAAATTTTGAATAACATACGATTCGAAATTAATATGGGCATCTGGAAGCTCAAACTTGGAATTTGGAAATTTTTTTTATTATGTGATTGATATTTTGTAAAACTTGAACGAATTTTTGATTAATAAACTCAAAGATTTCAAAGCGAACAACGGCAACACAGTACGTGGGAAAAAAAAATTACGTGCAAAGCGCAAAACTGTGTATCGGAAATTTTAATGATATGCTCATTTTAAAATTATTTTGCGATATTGCTGTTGAACTGAATTTTATGGTTTAAGTGTAAAGAACACTATATTTGATAAAGAAAGGTAGCACACAAAACGTTCAAAAAACGCCCCTTTGGGCGTAATGTAAAATCTGAAAGCTTTAATTTTTTTTTAAAATTTTACTTGTTAAGTTGAGCAGTTAATTCTGTTGCGGTTTGAATTTTCTTATGTGGTGGTTCTTTTTTTAGTCAAGTATTTTTACCCTGTGGGTTTTTGCCTTTTTTCTGCATATATAACGGAAACGGAATATAAAATGTTAGTAAATTTAAAGATGAGGGGGGATCCAAATGGGTTTCCCCCTGAGATAAATTCAATATACATATATAAAATCCCTCAAAAAGATTTTACATTTTTCTTGAAAAGGGTAAGTGAAAAAAATTGTCTTATATGGTTCGTTTTAAAGTTGCTTATTTTTAATATTTTGTATTTCTTTTTGGCTCGATCCTAGAAGATTGGAAAAGCTGAAGTTGTGCAATTCTCTGATTTTTTTTAAGTGAAAATAGATCGATAGGTACATGGGCAAAGCCAATGCAGTGCGCAATGCCGAGTTTGTGCAATTCTCTGATGTTTTTAAAGTGAAAATAGATCGATGTGTACAATCATTTTCACACATTCGGGCAAAGCCAATGCCGTGCGCAATCCCGAGGTTGTGCGCGATGCCGAGTTTGTGCAATTCTGGGATGTTTTTTTAAGTGAAAATAGGTCGATGTGTACATGGGCAAAACCAATGCAGTGCGCAATGCCGAGGGTTTGCGCGATGCCGAGTTTGTGCAATTCTCTGATGTTTTTTTAAATGAAAATAGATCGATGTGTACAAGGGCAAAGCCAATATAGCACGCAATGCCAAGTTTGTGCAATTCTCTAATGTTTTCTAAGTAAAAATAGATCGACTTGCACATGGACGTTTGTGGAATTCTCTAATGTTTTCTAAGTAAAAATAGATCGACTTGCACACGGACAAAGCCAAGGAAATGGGCAATGCCAAGTTTGTGCAATTCTCTGATTTTTTTTAGTGAAAATAGATGGATGTGTACATCGACACCAAGTTTTTGCAATTCTTTGAAGTTTTTCGAGCGAATACAGGTCGTTGTGCACATGAACAAAGCGAGGCTGTATGTTATACCAAACTGTAATGTAATGTATTTTATATGTAATGTTTAATGTGTCGTTTGTGTATTTTAAATTTACATTGTTGTTTTAATTGCAAGTTATGCTTTAGACATCTTTTTTTAATTGTATTTTTAGTTGTTTGGTTTTGATATGTTGATAATGCTTTCCGAAAAATATCGGTAATCCGACGATCTACTCAATAGTAGGAAAATTTGATCATATAAATAACTTATACTTTTTTTTATTTTAATAGGTAGTATTTGCTATCGCAATTGCACTTGATAATATGAGTTCATTGATAATATGTGTGTGTGTGAAGCATTGCTTAGTATTCCAAATTTGTAGTGTTTATTTTCTTTCAATTTGAGAAATTAGATTTTTTTTTTATTTGTAGAATGTATAGAATTCTAGTAAGACTATATAATATGACGTGATTTAAGAATTTAAGAAACAGTGATATGAAAGCTGTGTATGATGTTGATCTGCAATAAAAATATTTATTATTTTTTTATTAATGTAAAGTTTAAAATTTTTAGAAAATAATGAAGATTGTCTACTTACTAGTACCTAAGGGATTGTGTCTTTACGTGGCAACAAGGTAATTTGTAAAAATGATAAATTAAAATGTTCGATAATATGAATTTAAATTTGTTGGCAACTACTCCGATAAAAGAAAGGGAAAAAAAAAAAAAAAAAAAAACAAAAGAGGGAAATAGTTTTTGATTCGAGCGTATTGGCAACAGAGAGAAACCAGACGAAAACCCATAGAACTAGCACTTTTTTTTTAGAACCTGAACACAATTTTTGGTAGTTTTTGAATCGGCTGTAATCGGATATTGTTCTTTAAATGATTATCCTTTTAAACTAAAAATGTAAATAATATTATGTCAATATAACCCCCCCCCAAAAAAATCAATATCATGTGTATGATTTATTTTACGTTGAATCATTCACAAAAGAAGAAGTTAGTATTTTTCTAGTAGCTATTCGGAATATAATCCAGCATAAAAAAAAATCATCAAAGGTAGGGGTAAGTCTTGAAATTTATTAAGCCCTTATATTAATAGATTTAACGTAAATTGGAGTATATACTATTTTATTTAAAAGACACGCAATAATTTGCAACATTCTGATATAATTGCCGCAATAAATTTAATAATAAAAATCTTTTTTTTATTTGTATAAATTCTAAAATCTTTGAAAATACTGAAGCTGTATGAAATACAAATATGAGAGACTGCGACGTTGTTTACCGTTTTAATAACTGGTACAATTCACTTACTGCATTATTATAACTTAAAATATAAAGAATTTATTATACTTATTTCTATATCTATAGAGAATACATTGTGACGTCACAATTTTAGTCCCACTCGTTTATGGACGTCACTTAGCTCCGCCTTAGCAACATTGTTTACGCAACGTATTCTGAGATTTTACTGGCGATTTTCAAAAAATCGCTAAGCAGTGGGTTAAAGCACATTTTCTCCACTTCCTCTTTGGGCTAAAAATGAAGATACATAGGATATGTTCGTCAAACTAAATAACTAAATAGGATATTTTAATTTACCAGCCAAGGAATAGTCACGAAAGAAATACAATTGAAAGTGTTTGAAGAATTTTTCCGTCATCTCAAGTAAATTTATGTAAAAAGATATTTTATATAAAGTGATAGAGACAACTAATACTGGACAGGATCGCTCTGCCAACGCTGCTGAAAGGCACTGCTAATCTAAAGGATAAGTCTCATCTTTTATTTCATATTGTTTCTTTTTATATACAATTATACTTCTTTCATTTTCAAATTAATTTTCGAGGATTCTAAAATTTACTTACGATATTGTGATTGGTGAAAGGAATATATAAGTAAGCTTTCAACCCATAATTATGCATAATACTTGTAATGAACTAAGCTTATAAATAAAAGATGCTAAACTTTTACTAAAACTTATAAATAAAGGATATAACATAACAACAACTGCAGCCTTAGATACACAGAATGATGGTAAAAATTCGTCAAAGTCCAATAAATCAGCTTGTTCAGCCAGCGACCAATCAGAGGGCTTGGAATCGCAATTTACTCACCAATCCCAAACCTAACCCTACCTGTATGGAAGAAACTATCAAAAATATTACTCAATACCTGGATGGAAGAAACTATGAAAAATATTACTCAAAACAGTCATCAATTTTCACTTGCTAAAAATCGTGCTAACTTGTCTAATATGAATATAAAAACAGGTCATAATATACCCCAAGAACAGGCAAATAGCTGTAATGATGTTATAGCCTGGTTTCAGGAATTTACACTCACTTCTCAGCAACTAGTAAGCGACTTCAAAAATGCTCGTTGTAGATTTTCGAAAAAATTCAAGTGAGAATCCGTGTTATAGAATTCTTCACTTACGAACACATTTAATATCACCTCGCAAATTTATAACGAAAATGCACAACTATACTTATTTCTTCTTCTTCAATCAAAATGCTATCAAAAGGCAAAAATCAGAAAATGAAAACTACTTAAATAGCCATAATGTTGATGTCACATGCGTAAATGAGTCGTTCCTTAATCCTTTGGGCACCTTTAAAATTGAGAGTTACAACGTAGTAAGAAACGACAGACTGCATAATAGCAAAGAAGGCACCGCCATTCGCATTAATAAGCATATAAGATTCTCCATCTTTCAACTTAAAGCCACAAGGAACATTGAAGCAGTTGGTATCTTAATCTGCAGCAATAATAATAACAATAACCCGATTCTATTTATCTCAATGTACCCAACTCTCCAAATAACATGCTTAAAGATGATATAAATAATATTTTCTGCTATCTCTTGTCTCGCAATGAGTGACTTTAATGATAAAACAACTGGCTGGAATTGTCGTAAAAACAATAGTAGCGGTTATTTATCTTCAAAGTTATATCCTACAAAATAATATCAATCTCGCAGCTCCGGATAAATACCTGACAAGCTTCAAATAACAATACTGTTATCTTAAAAATTATTTTAATCAAAGATCTTAAAGCTTACCCTAATCTGCAAGTTATTTAATACTGAAACTCGGGCCATCTTCCTATCTACTTACTCTGCATTACGTCTCCCAAAATTTCTGCAATAATAAACATTACTTCAATTGGAATAATTTTCGTAACTCATTAATTTGTGAAACTCCGGAAGTAAATTATAAAGTTAACATTCCTACTAAAGAAGTATATATCAGCTACCTTATTCCGGATATTAATCATGCCATAAATAACGCAACTAAAAAAGCAATTAAAAATAGCTATGACTATCTTCCTAGAAATATTAAAAGCAAAATTGAAACACGAATCGAGTGAGGAAAATCTACCAAAGATCTCTGTATCCCAGGGATAAAATTCAGCTAAACAGGTTAAGTAAAGATATAAAACAACTCCTTAATAACCATAGTAATGAAAAATGGGCTTTGTACATGATATTATTAATCAAGACACAAATACAGTTTGGTTTCTCAATAAAGCAATCAGATCTGCAATTAATCCTATCGGCCCTCTTGAAACAAATTGAGGAGTTACTCACTCTGAAGAGAAAATTTGCAGTACCATGCCTAACCATCTGGAAAACGTTTTTACCAATGTTTTTACTGAAAACGCAGATTAAGATACACAGAGAAGTAGAAGACTTTGTGACTTCCCTAAATTCACCAAGTTACTTGGACTGCACTTCTCACACTGACATTAATGAAATTAATGATATCATCAGAAACCTTAAGCGAAGGAAAACACGTGGATAATGACAATATCAATAATAAGTCTCTCAAAATGCTGCCTCAAAAGTGCGTCCAATTCTTGGTTAAAATTTTCAATAGCTGTCTTTAATCTTAATTACTATCCTAATAGTTGTAAAATCCTGTCGTTATTCTGTTTAAAAATACCGGAAAAATCTCCAAATTATCTAAAAAATTATCGTCTCATCACTCTTCTCTCTCTATTGGCAAAGGTTTCGAGATTTATTCAAAATAGGCTTCAATTCTTCCTTGACAACAATAGTATTATTGATAATCAACAATCTGACTTCCTTAAAGGTCATTCAACAGTTCAACAAGTTATTAACCTTGCTGATAAAATAAGAGAAACTTTCAATAAAAAAGAAACGGTTGCTGTTTGTTTTATTGACATCGAAAAGACTTCGATAAAGTTTGGCATGAGGCTGTGTATACCAAATTATACAAATATAGATGCCCAATTTCACTCATCAAAATTTCACCAAAATTTCCTCAAAGGCCGTACTTTCAAAATTAAATAAATAGCACCTACTCTGCTGAAAACCCCATCAAAAGTAACATTCCACAAGGGTTGATCCTTGGTCCAACCATTTTCAACATTTTTACTAACGACATGCCCACTCCCTTGGCCCAACAATTTTCAACATTTTTATTAACGACATGCCCACCCCCTTGGGCACCATCCTTCTAAAATACGCTGATGATACCAGTATCCTGACTCGATCTATAAATCCCATGTATGCTTTTTTTAAACTTCAATTTTCAGTCAATATTGTTCAACACTGGTTCAGCTTATGGGGAATTAGTTAATCCTGCTAAATAAATAAAGATATCAGTCGACCAATATTCAAATTCTTAGACATATCACAATTACTGAAATTCCAACAGTCAAAGAAGTCAAATATTTAGGCATCACTCTGGACACAAAACTCACCTATAAATGTCATGTAAATTATGCTATTCAAAAAAGAAACGCAGCAAAAATGAGCGTTTGTCCTCTTATCAACAGAAATTCTAAACTTATTGTGGAAAATAAACGAAAGCTCGGGCTTTCAGCTCCCTGGTTTCTCACGGATAATCAAATCCACCAAGATTTTTTTAAAATTGATCAAGCTATATTACTTGAACTATACATACTTTCTTCGAAAGACACAAATATTCTTCTCATGATACCATTGGAAACTGATCAAATTAGGATTCTTATATTATACAAAATTTTAAAAGCCCCAAATCCATCTTTTCTGATGTTAACTGGTGATACCTTCATTTTAAGGCCCACCAGCGGCCGAGCGGTAAAGTCGCTGAACACTGGTAGTTTGGTCCGAGGTTCGAATCCCGCGAACAGACTGGCTGCATGGGTGTTTTCATGGTTTTCCCCATGAGTAACGTGTATACGAGCCAGTTTCCCTTAGAAAGTCCTCCACGAAGGCATCCCTCACTTAGGCAGATAGCCCTCGAGGCTTTGCCGTAATTAAATAACCTAACCTAACCTTCATTTTAAGAGCGTCCCATCGTGGCGAAGTTCTCGCTCTTCTTGGCGAGCTACTCCACTGTCGGGACTTTGTTTACTCACTCAATGTAACATTTTTCTTTTTCGGATTCTCGCCTAACGGTGGTGCAGTACTCACTTCATTTATTAGATTTCAAATGTCCTTACCTAGAAATTATATTTAGTACGAGATAAAAGCCCTTTTAACTTAGGGAGTGTTCAGTGCGAATGAATTTGATTTGATTTGGGAGTAGTACAGAGTGGGCGGACAGCAACGGGACAGCAACGGGCAATGTAGTAGCGGATAGAGAAGTCAAAAGTTTGGAGGTAAAACTCCAAATATTCTCGTCCCGATTAAGAGGGGCGGTGGACAGACAGAAAACGGCCATTTGGTGGTGGATGGAGAACGCCAAGAAAAGTGGCTGAACCAATTTGAAACCTTCATATCTAGCAGAACGACGAACAAAGGATATTAATCCAGAATCTTAAAAATTCACCCTCTAGAGCAGTGGTTCTCAACCGGTAGTACGCGTACCACTGGTGGTAAGCAAGAGAAAAATTGGTCATACCCAAAAGAAACAAAATATTTTTAATCATTAAATTCAAAAATTAAATACTACAACATCCTTTTTAACTTTTGTTTTCTAAAACTCGTAAATGTATGCGATCTGAGCTATGTTCAAATTCAATAGCCGCTCATAAACATTGGCAAAACAATCTTCTTTTATTTTCACAAACATTCTTTTAGCCATAAGCATAACAAAATGCATCTTAAA